AACAGTGTAAATGGTCGAAAATAGTTCTGAAGGGATGAAAACAACTCTTGTACATTATTTTATTACAATTTATGAGATACATTAGCCTCCTCAGCTTCGGAGGACCTGTTCTGAGGTTGATCAAAAACTGTCAAATGCGATCATTTTGCTCCGCGCAGCGCCTCAAAACTAACTGCGCCCTGACCCCCCCTCCCTCCCCCCTCTTTGGGTCAAAAGTGGAATTTTCTCGTTCAAAATAGGCCTTTGGATGACTTGGATGACTGGAGAGATGGTCAGGTCTGAAATCATTTCGGCGCATTTTACAACCGAAAAACGTAGTTCCGAGAATTTGCCTATTTTCTCCCCATTTAAACCAATGTAATTACTTCCAAAATTTGCATCGCTTTGGGGGAAAGTGTAGACTTCAGCTATGGTGCTGAAACTTCAAAATTATCTTTTAGGGACCAAAAGGAATGGGAAAAAGCCCAAAGAGCAAGATTTTGAGATGGTCGTCTAAAAACGGAACACCCTAATGTTACGCTCTGGATGTGGGCGAGGTTAGGTCGAAAAGAGCGTCTTGCCATTTTGTTTTCACGTGTCAAGGGACAGAAACTCAAGTTACAAAGAATAAGAGGGTTACAAAAGTACTAAATTACTAAGTTACAAAAAGAGAAAGGGGTCGAAAAATATGATATTTAGCGTTCCGTATTCTATGAACGGCTCCTAAATATGGTGTGTTGAAATTCGTTTGCCCTTGATAAATCGGGAATTGACGATAACTGATGAGCTAAATAGCGAGTCGAAAAGCTCTAATACACGATCATTAAAAATTTCAAAACAATAAAACGAGCGGCGAAAGAAATTCACTAAAAAATCACTAATTCTTGTCTCTACAAAAAGGAACTCACCAAATTAAAGAAAATAGAGTAGTGATCATAGTATGAGTTCATCCTCTCTTTCATGTAGCTAGTTTGACGGACGAATAGAGGGAGTTGTAAGGTGAAATGACCAGACGTATGAAAAATCCAAATGCTGCTGTATAGGCGGATCCAGACATCTCGAACGGAGGGGGCGTAAGGGGGATTTGTAGGCTACCGCCAGAAATTTTCGTAATATGTAGTTCGAGTCAATTTCGTTATGAACAATAGCTAAATGCAAGTGTTTTTTCTTCTCCTTTCCTCTGTTCCTCTTTCTTCTCATTTTCTTCCTCCTGTTTTTTCGGGTGAACCGGGGGGGGGGGGGCGTGCGCCCTCTACGTCCCCCGCTGGATCCGCCTATGTTTTGCTGAGAATTTTACTTGCCATATGTTTCACGTAGCTTTTCTTTGTTTTGATCAAATTCGTTGGAAATTTTTAGTAATTTATGCAGCGTTCTCATTGAGGATTCTTCTTGGTTTATAAATTATCAGCTGCCTGGCTGGTGAATGTCGTAGGGTGAGTCGTCGATAACAGCGAGGAGGACACCGTTGTCTTAGGTGTCCACTCAGTTTGGAAAAAGTTAATGGCAACGGGTGATTGAAATTCACTGAAATGATACTTCTCAGCAAAATGACAATTTGAAAAGTTAGCTCGCCGATCATCAGCAAAACTGTCCAACAAAGAAATATTCCCTCTTAAAAATATGTACATATACATCGAGAAATCAGATGCCTAACTGAGTGAAGCTGACTCTAAGCGAAATTTTACTGCACAAGATGAAGTGAAACATGGTCTTCTTTATCTGAGCATTCTTATGCCCTTAATAATTCGAGTAAAGTGCATTGAGGGAATCAGATTTTGTTGGTGAGGCCACGCGTAAATTGTACGAACACAACGCTAAAACACTAAAGTCAGCTAGGAGGAGAGTTTGCTTCACTGATAAACAAGTTTCAAACAAATCCTCCCTTCCTTTTTGTGTAGTGGGCCATCCTGGTCATCTCATTTCACATTTTTTTAATAAGACTATAGCCGTTTTTTAATAATATGAAGTGGAGGTTATTTTGTTATATGAGGGGCCTGATGAACAAGGCGCATAAGTGCAGTTTTTAACATTTCGATAAATATGTGTTGGAAGTTTCGAAATTACATGGCGCCTTATGGCGGGAAGAAAGCTCAAACTGACTTTTTGATGATCGAACATTGGAATTTGGGAGCGAATTTCTCACAGAATATGCATTCAGACTAGTTTTACTTGAACTCATTGGTACCTCAATTTTTTCAAAAACTGCCCTCATATTCTGTGCAATTTTGTCAAACTTGTAAACTTTTCAGGGGACACAAATCCATCCTATAATCTAGGTTGCCTTTCCGGTATATGTAAAAACAAAAAAAAAAATATATTAAAAAAGTCTTACGAAGATCGAATTGGTTTTTCATCGAAAGCTAATTTCTTGGGTTGCTTGTACACAACAATTACATGCCGATGGATACCTGGAAATGAAGAGGTAAATATGGGACGGTAAGCCAAAAATTTACAAGTAACCTAAGGAGAGCACAGTGATTTGGGACTACAGGGGAGTTCTAGATTCAAAAGTTTGATCAATTTTGCCATACATTATAGGTATATGACTCGGGGTGGGCGCGTCTTAAATAAAATGAAATTTTAATTATGATGTCGTATGTTGTTTGGTATGATTAACAGCCACTGCATTTGGGGTGGTTTGATGATATATATCGGTTGTGTGTCCATGTTTCCATTACCTGTATCCTCAGCGGGCGCTGGTACGTTGTAAGAAGCAAGTTCCTGCCCTTCCTTAATTTCATTTCCTGGTATGTTTACAACCAACCAGTGTAAATACTCTCGAAGCGTTGGTGTCATGTGAGACGGCACATCAAGACCTATAATAGCAAGTATATATAATTACAAAAAACAAAGCATTCCGTTTTAAAAATAAGCAAAGTTCTAATGTAAATTACCGTATGAGTAAGTACATTTGACACGTTGACACTTTATGATGTATTTTGCCAAAATCAAGTTTATTTACTTTTAAAAGTATCACAAGTCGATCTACTCTGGAAAATGATGCATTTTTATCTGCAATAACTGGCTTACTTGAGAAGATTCCTATTTACACCCATGCATGTCGCCACATAGCACTTCCCGGGGCCACCTAACCGCCATTGACCGATATCAAACCATAATTCTTCGGGAATAGAGTTACTTTAACATTTCTGCACCAATTTCATCCTTTCACCCACTATAATTGAGCGCCCTCTGCGCCCTCTTTCAGACGGTTTAACCAATCCAGGAACTTCTTCGGCAACCTTTCTTTTGCCATTCCTCACACATGACCGTTCCGTATAAGTTTTTTCGTCATAATATCATGCACGATGGTAAGTCTGGTCGTTCTAGCACCCATAATCTCCCACACCGTGTTTCATTCCTAAAAAGTTCATATTTGATTCGATAAAATTATGATCATACCAACCTGCCATGATCAAGGTATACCATTCTGTCTCATTCCCTTTGAAGTCTATCCAATGTGGCGGAGAGTTAACAACATCGATCGGAATCAGATTTCCGAGGCTAGCGAATTTTCCATTTACCCACTCTACCTGAAGGTAAATTGGTCAAAATTACAGAAGTGTATATCGTTCACACAGAATTTAACAAAAATCTTATCAGAATAAACTAAACCGAACCAAAATGTTGAATTAAAACATTTTTTTCTGTTTGATGCCTCGGATAATACAGGAAAAGTAGAAAAACTTCATGAAGTATATGTATATCGCACGAAAAATATCGCGCCAATCGATTTCGTGACATTACAAGGACCGTTAACCGCCGTGATCCTTTCACCTGCGATTGAACGTATTTATTCCGGTCGTACACAAATACATTAAATGCCATAAAATGCACGGTGATTGAAACCATGGGACGTCACCCTTTATGACGTCATAAGGAGAACGCCTTTGAAAAACGGTTTTCTCTTCACCACAACTTTAAGCTCCTTTTTGTCACTCATAAAACCTTTTTAGAGCCTCTTTAAGCTCGGGAGCGTGTTTCTCCCAAAAATTAACGTGGGTCAAACCTTTTTATTAAGTGCGGCTATGTCTTACCGCTGTTTTGTCGGGCTTTGTCGACTGGAATGAACGACAAACTAAAGGCACCTCTTGAGTTTTCGACAGCACGTCGTCCATTCCAATCGACAAAGTACGAAAAAGCAGCGATAAAACATAGCCGACCAATCGCGCTTCGCTATTTAACCTATTCCATCCATGTCCAATTGTCCACCCGACAAACACAAAATTTCAACAATCAGGCTGCAGGATCATGCAATAGCTCCATTCTTAGCTTACCGTGCAAACAATGGTAGGGACATCATAAACACAGTCAGGTATAATTTCATGGCGAAGGAGGTCAGCAGTAAGCTCCCCTCGCGGCTTGTATATGTCGCTGATTCGTTTTGTTGTCTCGTGTATCGTTGAAGTGGTAGTGGCGTCTGCGTGATCATCGAGGGCCCGACAAATAGCGCACATGATAAATGAAACTACGACAAAGAACACTACGCTCATCCGCGGTAGTCCCCATTCCATAAACATTCCCTGAAATTCAGATTATATTTCAGCATCACTCGATGAAACATTCACGAATATTTTCTAAGAAGGATGATTGTCCGATTGCCAAATTCCTAACACCAAATGAAAACATGTCTGTTGTCTTCAAATACTTCCTCGAACTTAATCTGTAAATTGGTTCTTTCATTGGTTCTTACCATGCCCACGAAATGTACACAACCACAGTAATTTTCAGCCACTCACTATCAAAGATTAACACACCATTGTTTTTAAAAGCGGATAAGCAGCATTGATCGATTTGCATCAGATTCTCATATATTTGAGAAAATTTAAATTGATATATTTTAATGATTGAAAGACCCAAGAGCGAGTATCGGCATAAAGAAGGTAGAAGTTCGTTAAACATTGAAAGGTTCTACAATGAACAATGAATTCTACAGGGAGCGTTTAATAAAACGCAAAAAGGAATATATTTTTGGGAGGTTCATAAAATAAAACACCAACTAAATACCTACATTCCTTTAAACTAAGAATTCTTCCTTCATTTAAATCGTTCATTTATAACGTACTCAATGATCTAAACCCCTCTTCTTTGGGGAAATAGATTAGAGGAGAGGAAAATTCGCACCTGAAAAGCACGAGATAAACTTTATTCTCCTTCCTCAAGTCCTCTCCTTTATGCTAGGTACCTCTTTATCGTTTATGCGTTGAAATTCTAGGGATATTCCAGGAAAGGGTTTGGCGGTTGGA